AAAAGAAAAACACATTATCTAAAAAATGTCTAGTAGATTGGGTAAAGGAATGAATAAGAAGAAAAAGGAGGGGCAGAGAATGTGGAAGATGGAAAGTACATAATTATCCTGTGTCTTAGTACCAATGTAAAGTCTTATCTCTGGATGGGGCTTCCCTCAAGGACTACAGGTTTAACAAAAACAAAACATATGGACATACACAAAATAACACAACAACAACAACACAAACACTTCAGCTTTTCTCCTATGAGTGTGTTAATGCAGTGTGACTTGTTGCTTCTATAAAAGCCTTTTGAGATTACAGATGATGGAACTGTTGTGGTCTAGGCAATCCACCACCACTCTGGTCTTCTTCTTTGGTTCTCCCACATCCAAAAGTCAGCTGGACCTCTTTGCTCAAATGTTTCAGGAATATCAGAACCTCCTGTGCTCAAATTGAAGCAATTTTTCGATAATTTAATCAAAATGGTACAGACATCTGAAATTCCTAACTATGAGATATTTTGTGTCTATTCAAAAGTACTTTTAACAAGTGAAAGCAAAAATAGAATAGCCTACTTTTAAAAAAAGTCTAAATAGCTACATGAGGGTGTGGACATTAAAATATTTAATAATATTTTCTTATCTTTTATCCTTTTAATTTACTTTTTTATTTAGGGGTTGTAAGGATCAGTTAATTCAAAAGATGTAATTAGTAATCTAAGCAAATTTATTTAACAAGATATGAATTATTAGTAATTCCAAAAATATGAATATATATCAGAAAACAAGCATTTTTTTTAAAAAAAATTATTTTATTTTTTGGTTGTTGAAGACCTTTCTTTCTTCCTTCCTTCCTTCCTTCCTTCCTTCCTTCCTTTCTTTCTTTCTTTCTTTCTTTCTTTCTTTCTTTCTTTCTTTCTTTCTTTATATGTGGTGCTGAGAATCGAACCCAGTGGCTCACACATGCTAGGCAAGTGCCCTACCACTGAGCTACAACCCCAGCCCTTTTTTTGTAAAATTCTTATTTTATTTTTTGGTTATTTTTGAAAGTGGATTTATCTCACCACCATGTTTTTCATAACTGCTTATGAAACTTTCATAACTTCACAGAGATGCGATGCATATACTTTTAAACAACTGCATAATGCTGGTGGTAGTTGACATTTTTTTACATTTTGCCCATCCATAATAATATCTACATGAAATAATAACTTAGCATCCCTAATAGTTAAACCCTAAGCTCATAACTCAATTAAAGAGAGACCTCTGAAGTTTGAATCAACTCTTTTCATAGATAGATTCTATTTTTAGAGCAACTTATATAATGTGTGGTGTGTCGGGTGGGGTGGATGTGATGAAGTGCGTAAAACCTTACAAGCAAGAAGGAGGCCCCCCGAGTTAAACTGTGCCTTTAATCTGTGTGGACATTACATCATGAGTCATTTAGAGGAAAGGGTAGGGTTTCCTCTTGAATTCATTACAGCATGAAAGGTAACATTTAGTAGGTAGGGTGTACAAGATGAAATTGTACCTCTCAGGTAAGAGCATGTTTTCCCATGAGAAAGTACACCTTCTTTTTTAAAAGAGACCAATAGCATTCTTTCTCTGTTTCATCAAGTATAAGTGGCTGGAAACTTCTGAGCTCAGTAGTAAAATATCTTGAACTTCCAATGTAAAAAAATAAATAAATAAATAAATAAAGGCAGTACAAATCAAGGCTGTGCACAAATTTAACAAAGAGGAATGACTTTATTTAAGGTAATGGTATAAATAGATTTTTTAACTTGAATCTAGTCATCCCTTAGCAGTATAAAAATCAAAGCATTTTTCTTGAAGAGCACTGTATAACTATATAACTTCTTATCTGTATAACTTCTTGTCTCACATTCTTACCAAAATGTATATATTTGTTTAAACATTAAAATGCCTGACAATTAAAATTTTTATGTAATTTTCTGACCTCAAATTATTTCAAAGACAAAACTTTTTTCTTTCTTACAGTGATAAAGTTTAAAAAGAGAGAGAAAGAGAGATCAATGAAAATGGTATAAAAGGTAAGTAGCTATCAAGTCTCCTCTCTTCAAAACAACATCTTGAACAATAGCTTGATACTTTAGTTTTCTCATTGTAAATATAGTTTTACAAGTCCTTAACAATTTTACAAGTTACCTTGAGAATAAGTTATAATGACATATGTGAAAGTATTAAAAACTTGATCCATATCAGGTTTATGTAATGTAACAAATAGTTGAGAGAATTTGAGAATAGTTAGAAAAGAGAAGACTGAGATGAATAGGACCAATGTTATTAACTATTGCAAGTCTGAGTCATGGAAGTGATTAGAACTATTCAATACACACACACACACACACCAATTACTCTTGCTATTTCACCAAGGGTAGAAATAGCAGAAAAGTAGATTTGGGCTTACTGAAAGAGGAAGATGTTTCTAATAGAGCTTTAGAGGCTGTGAGCTTCTTAATACTGATGATTTCCAAATCTAAGTCAGATGGCACTATGATGGGAATGCACAGGAGAAAGTTCACACATCAAGTTAGCAACTGAGCTATATGATCTGCAGTCTTCCAGAGTGAACAGTCTGGTATTTGCTACATAGAAAGTATAATTCTAATTGCATTGTGTTTCAGTATTCTTTGTGTAAGGGTAAAAAGGACCCTATGCCTGGGTATTATGAAGCTATGAGTTTCTCTCATGGGGCAAGCATCCAGCCCCTTTACCACTTCTATAGTAGGAAGAAAGTGAGGAAGCAGAATGTCAGCAGGGAGCACACCAGGAATATGGCCAAGCAAGGAAGTGCAGGCAGGGCAGGAAGGAGAAGCCCAAGGAGAGGGAGAGGGTACTTGGTGGTATGACTTTGTTCCAAGCCTGTACACAATGAAAAACTAGACACATTATTTGTTTGGCTGGAGTTGAACCAAACTGACAGAATTTATGATGTCTTCATATTTACCTCTGGGTAGACAAAACTCATGTCAAAAACAAATCATGAGATTATCAAAGTGATTTACTATAATTATCAAGAAAAATGGGAAATACTTTGTTAAATAAATTGTATAAAGCCTGGTTAACTCAGGCCCTAACCCTTTCTTTTAGTCAATGTCAGTGTTCTTATTGTTATTTTGTTTTGAATGAGCCAAATAATTTCCTTAAAGCTCTGTGTCTTTGCCTTTCTGAAAACACCCTGGATATGCTGTGAACACAATTCCAAGACTTGGAACATGTTTTGAAGACCTTTGGCAGCATCCAGCCTCTGTGCGGGAAGCCTGTAGCTCCCTGTTAGACCATGTCTTTCACTATCAAATTCAAAGCATACAAAATATTAAACTAAATATTAAAGGAACATAAGATTTTATATAATAAACTTGCTGGTGTGTGTTGTTGCTAGGAGTTGGAGCTATAAACATCACCAATGAGATCTTGTGATCTAACAAACTCATTTTCAATTTCTTTCATTGCCACAAATATGTGTGTGTGAGTGTGTGTGTGTTTGTGTATACATTCAGACACATCTAAGTTTCCTGAGATAAAAACTTCATGAATAAAATAAACTCTAGTTCTAAAAACCTGTCAAAGTACTACACACATTAATGTATTTGAGTCTGATGCAAATGCTAATTCTATTAAGTCGATTGTATGTAAAAACATAAAATCCAGTATAGAAAAATAATTTCAAGCCAGGCTCAGTGGCACATGCCTGTAATCTCAGTAATTTGGAAGGCTGAGGCAGGAGGATCACAAGTTCAAAACCAGCCTTAGCAACTCAGTAAGGCCCAAAGAAACTTCACAAGACCCTGCCCCAAAATAAAATATAAAAAGGGGTGGGGATATGACTCAGTGGTTAAGTACCCCTGGGTTCAATCCTCTGTACCAAAAAAATAATAATAATGATAATTTCAACTATCATTTCTTAACAGAACATTTAATTGTAATTAGTTGAAAAGTTAATTTTTTGTAGATATGGTGACATATTTAAGCTGTGGTTTGTATAAAAAGCTGAGAATTCCCATCAGTGTTCAAACATCTCACCAGAAATGTAGACTCATGATATCCAAAGTCCTTGAAGTATTCAAAAAAGTCATCCTATCATAAAAATAGCAGTCTTTCATTCCTCATTTTATTTATTTTTGACACTAGAATCAACTAAAATAATTGCCCAGGCCATAAATCATTTCAACAGAAAGCAAAAGCTCAAGGGGAAAAAAAAATTCAAACATAACTTTAACTGGCTGGAAACCATAAACTAAACAGGAAGTTCAACCCCAAATTCTGAACTTATAAGATAATGGCAGTTATTTGTGTTTTATTCAAATCAGAAAATATTTAATTTGTTGCCACTAAATAGAGTCCAGATGAAGGCAAAGGAATAAAAACCCATCTCTTTCCTGGTAGCTCAAACGGATAATAAGAACACAATGTGAGAACTCAGCTGGAACCCAAAGGACACATGTGCATGACTCTTCATACTTCTTGTTTACTTTTCTTCTTTCCTTCATGAATCTTGAATCTCTTAAAATACCAGCCCAAGGCTGAAGGATCTTGAGTGAATGGAGGCTTCTTCTCCTCCCCAACATTTTCTTTCCTGGCAATTTTGCTTCCCCCCCCCCACTTCCTACCCCTATATGACTCTTCCTCTTCCTCCCTTCTATTTCTTTATTGTCATTTTAATTTAAGCAGCCAATACGGCGACCTTGCTCAGAAAGCTACTGTCATAGATTGTTTACAAACAGCACCGTGTTTCACTTTCATGGTTCCTGTTCCCCCATTCCATGGGTACCATCTTGTAGAAAGAAGCCTGATCTTTTAGATTCCTAACTACCCAGGACTTTGGTTCAAAGAAGATATACGGTAAATATTCATAATGGGATCAATGTTATCTCCCAATCTTCCTGGTTTTGACTTTCTTTTCTTCTTCTCATTCTTTCCCTTCCCTTCCTTTCCACCATTACTATATTTTAGCATAAGACTTCCAGAAAGCATAATCCATTGCCAACACATCTTTTCTAGATGAATGAAGACATCTTTTCTATGTGAATCTAGGAAAATATGGAAAGCCATGGGAATATCGGCATCTGAAGATAAAAAGACCTAAGGAATAGTCTTTCAGTTCAGAACTCAAAATTAGTAGGCAATATTTTTTTTTTCTGTATCTATTATGATCAGCCCAGTCTTTTAATTTTTTGTTCTGGATTTGTTAAGAACGAAACTAACTCAAGAACTCCTATGTTGAATTAAAATTCTGAATTTTCTGGCATATGAACCACTTGAATTGGAATTACTTTTCATCCTTATTATATATACAAATCTCTGCATCTCAACCCAGATATGTTAGTCAGAACTCTTTCCAGGGCAGGAGAACACGTGAACATTGTCTTTTCATTGACTTTCCAAGTGATTTATTAATGCACAATACAATTTAAAAAAACCACCATTCTAGATTATCTGGCCCAATTTATAACTTTCCGAAGCTAAACATTACCAGAATGCCAGGAGAGGAAAGGTTTCTACATCTTTTGCTCAAGAAAACTTTTATTCATTTATTCACATTTATGAAGGGTCTGGGTCAGACTTCAGATTCCAAAAGAAAATTAGCCTGAGTTTAAATATGTTAGGATCTTTAACTTCCCACAAGAAAGTTAAGTGTTTAATTAAGAAATTAACATACTCTGTAAATCATAAATTTTCAAAGTCGTTTATTACTTATCCCTTTAGAATAATTTTTAACTGCAAAATAGTTTATTAAACATTTATTTGAATCCATCACTAAAAACATTAATGGTTCCATTTGAAAGGTTGCCAACTGGAAATATTAATAAATACTTTTTTATTTGTTGTTTTTACATTACATGACAGTCACATGTATTTTGACTTATTATACAAGGTGCAACCCATTACAATTGTGATCTTTTTCTTGTGGTTGAACATGATGTGGAGTCATACAGGTCATATGTATTCCTATATGAAAATAGGAAAGTTACATCCAATTTATTCTACTGTCTTTCCTATCTCCATTTCCCCTTTCTTCCCTTCTATCCCCTTTTGTCTAATCCAATGAACTTCTATACTTCCCCTCCCTACCCTTCCTTGTTATGGGTTAGCATCCACATATCAGAGGGAACATTCAACCCTTGGGTTTTGGGGACTGACTGATTTCACTTAGCATGATAGTCTCCAGTTCCATTCATTTACCGGTGATGCCATAATTTCATTCTTCTTTTTAGCTGAGTAATAGGGAATATTAATAAATATTGAATGGTTTATTGAATTGATAATAACATTAAACCAACTCAGAAGTGTAATTTCTATTAAAAATAAGAGCATAAATTACTTCAAGGGTGTTATGTTGGTGTATTTACTTAAAGTAACTCCAGAAAGAACCAGGTTCTTGGTTTAATGCCCGTTATGGTCATCTGGAAATTTTTAATCATCTTGTGTTTAAACTTGTGTCTTGTAAGTTTTTTCCACATTAATGAAGCATGTGCATAAGTGCAGGAGCCACAATGGGAAGCAGCTTGTGAATGCACAAGTTCAGGCCTCATCACTGCTGGCCCTTGGCAGCAAGGAAGCAAGAACACTGGGGTTGGCCAGCTATCGCACATGCCTGGAGTAAGTCCCAAGCACCTTGCAGCCTCAAGGAGGCAGCCTTAAGCCCAGATTGTCATTGACAAGGATGACAGCAGCCAAAGCAGCTAAGTGATAGTATCTGCCAAGGTCCTGAGGAAATAAAAGTGACACCTGTAATCCCAGCGGCTCAGGAGGCAGAGACAGGAGGATCACAAGTTCAAAGCCAGCTTCAGCAATTTAGCAAGGTGCTAAGCAACTAACTCAGTGAGATCCTGTCTCTTAAATAAAAAAAAAAAAAAAAAAAAACTATATGCAAAAAAACAACAAAAAAATAGGGCTGGGGATGTGGCTTAGTGGTCTAGTGCTCCTGAGTTCAATCCCCAATACCCAAAAATTAAAAAAATAAATAAATAAAATAAAGGCCTTCCTTGGAGAAAGGAAGGTCAGTGTGAGACCAGCTGACCCATCTATTCCTGGAGCATCTGCATAAATACTAGTTCTCTGGCCCAAGTGCAAGGACAGGCACTTCCAGTGCTCAGGCAATATATTTTGTCAGTAAATTGTTACAAATTAAAAGTGGACATTGCAACAAAATATATCAAATAGCTACTAGAATTAGTTACAGTTCAAAATCTCTGGTTTTGAAAACTGCTAGAATATTGTTACCAAACCTCCACAGGCTTAGAAGAAATCAATGTCATTGTATTTGGTAGAGAAGTGTACACTTTTCATGTGATGCTTTGGATAAACTATTAATAAGTCATTAATAAATCTGTTTTCCTTGTGATTGAAGACAGAGTGATGAAATATATAAAAAGTATTGTTAATAATACACAAATCATGAAGCCATTTCCAGTTTTTTCTACAACTCCCCTAAAATACAGAAATGTCACAGTAATCATTAAAATGTCATTTCATAAATGTGCAATTAATTTTGACACACACACATAATTAACTTTTATGAAATTGCATCGCTCTAGAAAAATTGCACCACAAGAATTATCAGCTCTAGATGTACTAAAATTTAGCTTCCCAGAAAAATGAAGCAATTAAAAGTAAATTTGGAGAATGGGTATAACTCAGCAGTAGAACACATGCTTAGCATGTTCCCTGGGTTTGATTACTAACATCAAAGGCAAAAAGTACAGATAAATTTTGATGCCCTAATATGTAAATTTGCAGAATAGTATGCCAGAAGAGTCATATAATGAATCAAGACAACATATCAATAAAGTAAGTATGATTTATTATGTTATGAGAGCAGAAATGTTTTTTCATTTATAATTTTTATTGTTTCTCATTTATCATCATTACCTTTATTACATTTTATAACTAACAATATTATTTATTCATTTATTTATTTATTTTGGTACTGGGGATTGAATCTAGGAACACTCATCCACTGAGCCACATCCTCAGCCCTTCTTTGTATTTTATCTAAAGACAGGGTCTCACTGAGTTGCTTAGTGTCTCACTTTTGCTGAGGGTGGCTTCAAACTCTCAGTCCTCCTGCCTCAGCCTCCTAAGCCACTGGGATTGCAGGTATGCACCACTGCGCCCAGCTAACAACATATTTTTAAAGACAAGACTTTTTATTTTAGTCCCTCTAGCAAAAACTTCTATGTTCACTTTTTGAATGAGGGCCACTGCTTACTCATTTTGAATTTTTTTTCCTGAAAATTATGTAGCCAGCCCCACGTAAGAGAAAGAAAGCTGAGATCATTTTATGATCCAGAAGAATGAAATCCTGCAGGGTTAATGGCTTGACTATGGTCCCCAAGCCAGGGAGGGAGACCAACT